TGTGTGTGTGTGTGTGTGTGTGTGTGTGTGTGTGTGTGTGTGTGTGTCCACCTAGCGGTTTGCCCGTCAGCGGGTGCAGGAAGGTGTGAGGCGTGGGTGAGGGCGACAGGACGGGGGCCGGAGGGGGGAGCTCTCCGAGGTCGTCCATCGAGTGGCTCTGGGTCAGCAGAAGCGGCGGCTGGTTCTCTGACCCCGCCCCCTCCACCGACAGGAAGAGGGAGGAGCGGCGGCCCTGAACCCGGGCGCGCTCGGAGAGCACCTGCTGCTGGTACAGCTCCGCCCTGCTGGGGCTCGAAGGTCCGCCCCGGTCCAACTTGAACAGATCGTGACCTAAAGGGGAGAACCGGACTGATGAGGGTTCTGAGGCGCCGCACTGACAAACGTGAGATGGGACCGTTTCAGAGCCAGAAGAACCCCGCCGTGTTTCCACCGAGACCAACACCTCGTGGAGTTTTCTTTGACTCTGGCCTGAAAATAATCCAACCAGTCCAAGCCGAACAGAACCAGAAGGTCCAGTAGAAACTGCAGAACCTGTTCAACATCAGGGCAGAGTCCATCGTAAGGAGGCTTTAAATCTGAAAGATGGACCCGGCTCTGAGCTCTCTGCTCGGCGCCGCGGATCTCGGTGCAACTTTTCAGACGAGGCTCGGTTCTGCCTCAAACGTGAGTTGGTTCTGAATTCAGTCCGAGTTGATTTCTGAACTGAAATCAGCTCCAGATTTTAAAACTTAACGCTTTGAGATGTTTAGTTTTAAAGGATCTCATGAAGCGTCACATCTGGTTCGTTCTAAAACATTTTTAGTATCTTCTAGTCCGATCAGAGAACAGGTTCTGTCCGGTCCGGTTGTTGGACCGACCTGAAGAACGTTCGTTTTCTTTGTGAGTTTTTTTTAATGTTTATAAAAGTAGAATTATTGTAAACCTTCAGTTTCATGTTTGGACTTTGCTCTCAGAACTTAAAGGACCGGTTCTGGACGATGACGTACGAGCCTGAAGGTCCAGTAAGAACCACGTTTGATGTTTTTCTGGCAGAAAGTGTCCCATCATGAACTCTGGTGGTAAAAGTGCTAACCCTGCTCCTCAACAGGAAGTTGTTTCAACAGAGGCGACTTCCTCCTTTGGGGTTTGGTGGGCGGAGCCTGCTGACCCACGTTAGCGTAAGGGTTTTCTATTGGTCGTCCCCGGAGGCGTGACAGTGGCGAGTGTCCGAGGGCGGGGCTTGTGCTGTGGATGGACAGCGTGGAGGTCTGCGTGGCGGTGTGCAGGGCGTGGCCAGCGGCGTGGGCGTCGAGCTGCAGCGGCGGTGGGGGTGTGTCCTGCAAGATGATCATGGACCTCGCTTTCCGCTGCCGCTCGGCGTGGGTGTGGCTTCTGGAATCTGAGAGCTCCTGCAGCCTCGGCTCCGCCCCCGGCTTGAAGCTGGAGCGGGTCAGTCCCTCCCCTTGACCCGGGGGAGGAGGGGGAAGGAAGGATGGAGGAGGGCCCGAGTCGAGGAGGAAGAGCGAGGAGGTGGAGGAGGCAGAGGGAGGCGGGGGCGGGGCTGTCTGAGGAGGAGGTGGGATGGAGCCGTCCGTCAGCGAGGAGCTCCGTGGAAACCGACTCTCGTTGATCAGAGCTGAGATCCGGTTGTCATCCGGTGTGCCTGTCGTGGTTACCATGGAGACGAAAAGATAAACTATCGGTTGTTTTTATTAAAACACCAAAACAAAAGTCTTTTTAGCTGCTTTCTAAACACACAAAATATAAATATGCAAATAAAAAGGTCGGCTCAGAACCTTTTCACAGCATGTTCAGCTTCGGCTGTGAACAAGCTGCAGAGCCGGGTCATTTAACGACCTTTAGCTGTGTGCTAAAGCTAACGTGTTGGGTGCGGCAGCTGGTCTCACCAAAGCTCTTGGTTCTGGACATCCCTCTGGGTAAAGCCATGGTGCTCTTCTCTGGGGCGGAGGGGGGCACCAGACCCTGACGCTCAAACAGGGACTAAAAGGACAACAAGAACTTTAAAACAGAACATGGACCAGCTCGTCTTTGGCTCCCACACAGAAACTCAAACTTTTTTTAAAGTTTCTAACTTTCACGGTTTTGTCACAAAGTTTTTTAAATATGTAACGACGTAACGAGATCTTACGGGACTAAAAACCCAGAATTTAAACTCTGTAACTAGAGTGTCACGACTTTATCTGGTGAAGACGAGTCCAGGAGATTAGACACGGGACCGCAAGGCGTGTTGTGATCGGCTAGCTTCTGTAGCTACGTGCTGAGAGGAAGAGCCTCCTGCAGAATGAGTAGAATGCTGAACGACTGCAGCTGAGAAAATAAACTGAACCTTTGAGGTGTAAATTACACAACTTCAGTTTATTTATAAAGCATCAAATCACAACAAGTGTCTCAGGCACTTCACAGGAACATTCACATAAAAGCCAATTAGTAAAGTTCTTGATCTGAAGAAGCAGCGGACAAGTTGAATCTTGGCTTCGCTGCAGTTTCTCATCCTGAGCGACAGCTTCTGTCCTTAATGCTCATTCCATGTTTCCGCTTGAATTATTTGACAGAAGAAATCTAAAAACGTGTCAAATCTTGTTTTATATGGAAATATTTTTAATGTTTTATTACGACCGCTTGAGAAAACGGGTCCGACCTCCCGGAGGTCAAAGGTCACACTAACGTCTCGTAACATCTGAAGCCCTTGAAAGACCTTATTAGTTTTCAGACGAGCAGTGAGGTTCTGCTCGCCGGGCCCGTCCATTTCTTTAAGACGCGTCAGAACCACGTCTAGAGATCCTCTTCGTGTTTTGGTGCTTACGACCCGGCTCTCGTCTTACGTTAATCTCGGCCTGCGTGATGCGTCGGCTCGTCGGCCTCTGTTTGACCGTCGCCGCTCTGAAGTCGTCTGATGGGCGGGTCCTCAGAACAACTTCCTGTTGGCCTCCAGCCAGCATCTCGTCCAGTTTCTCTGGAGAGGGAACGGGACAATGAACAAGAACCAGGGCTGCAGCTGGACCTCAAACACCTGAACCGAGCTTTAAAGCTGCTGTGGAACTAATATCTTACCTGCTGCAGATGGGTCTTTGGACAGTTATATTCTGACTGGATTAATGAGCTGAAACCAAAGTGGCGTTTGCAGCAGCTAAAGGTTTTTATGACTCTTTCCTTCTGAGCCGTTACGAAACTTTAAAGACTGGACTCGATTTAAGGAGGAGTCCATTTTTTGTGTCTTTGTCTCAACGAGCCGTTAGCTCGCTAATCTGGTCAGAGCGCTATCTGCAACAGGTAAGACATTCACTGTTCATAAGGTTTCCACTCAACTTCAAAACTTTGAACTTTTAATATTCTTTTGTTGGAACCTAACGCTTCATGCCAACAGAACCAGAACCACAGCAGACCGGTCCAACTCACCGTAGCGCCGCCTCCTGGCTGCAGGCGGAACACAAACAGGAAGTATAAAACAGATGTTGGACTCAACAGCGTGCGTGAGTACGTGTTAGTTTTACCTATCTCCTCCAGATCGGCTGTCATGGACTTGGACCGGAGCGTCAGTGATGTGCTGGGCGCTCGTTTGGGAGGGGGCGGAGCTACAAGGCAAGAGTCTGAATCAGTTTTTGTTTCGATGAACCGAACTTTAATCTGAAGTCATCACCAGATTTAGTTTGTTGATGCAGAAACAGGAAACTAAAAGATAATGAGAAGCAGCTGAGTCCAGCTCCATGTGGACCTGGAGGGGTTTCTGGTGTCATGGAGCCCATTGGGTCACCATGGAAACGGGCTGAACTCATCAGAACCTGATTCTGGCCGCAGCACACACGATTAGTTTAACGATAGTCCAGAAATTACGGTAATGTTTCTATATTTGGTTCATATTTATTAAGAAATCTATGAAACTGTTTTTAAAGGCTGGACTGAAGTTTTGGATGTTTGTAGCTTCAATCAGAGATTACGACATTTGTTTGATCTTTCTGCACCGATGGATCAGAACACAAGCTGCTGCTGAGCCTTTAGCTTTTTTAATCTGAAGCTTCGGATCGTCTCGTAATCTGATTACATCCAGGTGACGCGTCTGAGCCGAGACCGCTCGTGAGTTCTGGCAGTCCAGCATCTGGACCGAGCTTCTCCTCCATGACTCCGCTGGTTTGTTGCTCAGCTGAACCTGCATAACGCTAACATCAGCTGAATGCTAACATCAGCTGAATCTGTTATCAGAGGTTCGGCTGTGTCAGATTTAATCTGGATTCATTATCGGTGTGGTTTCTAGTCATGGAGCCTCAGATGGTTTCTGACAGAAACAGTTGAGACATTCTGGAGACATGGACTCTGTCCATCTCGTCCCGGTCCACCGAACCTTCAGTGAGTCTTTGGTTCTGTCCAGCCGGGCTCAGGCAGCTTGTGGAACTCTTTGTAATCGTCTCGTTTCTAAACGTTTCAAACGGATCGTTACAAATGTTCAGAATCAGACTGAGCCCGGTTTGACAACGCGCCGGTTCTGATGGTGCTTTGGTCCAAGTTTCTGATCCAACAACTCAAGTTTCAGAACACTCTGAAAGATCTGAAGCCGTTACTTCCACTGGCACAAACGGGTTTAATGTACATCTGGTTCTGATGGACTCGTGTTGCGCAATCCTTCATTTAGTTCCTGCAGCGTTGAACAAGATTCAGTCTTTTATTCTGAAAATCCTCCCAGGATTAAATAAAGTGTTTGTGACGTTCAGCTGATTTTCATCAGATTAAATTATTAAACCTCGATCTTCACCTGAACAGTTTTAATTCGCTCCCTGCTCTTCAGTTGAAATCTTTCAGCCCGTTGCCATGGCGACCCTCTGGTTTACAGAACCAATCAAAACGAAACATTTTCACAGAAATTAAAAGAGCCGAACCTTTCTTCCTGATCAGGTTTTCTGATTTTCGGGAGACGGACATGACTTTCATCAGCAGACGACTTCCTCCTTGTCGGATGAGAGAGACGACCTGCCGGTGACCCACCTTCACCACGTCGGTCCCGTTCACCTGCAGAGGTCCAGTCAGGTGACACGTTTCCAACAGGACTCCATAAAGTCCCGTTTTATTCATCATCATCTGGCTGTTACCTCTATGAGGAAGTCTCCGGTCCGTAGCCCCGCCCTCCAGGCCACGCCCCCCTGATCCACAGACTCCAGGTACTGAAGGGCAGGAAACGCAGGTGTGGGGGCGAACTCTTCAATGGGGGTCTCGGCTGGAGACAGAAGCAAGTGGAGATATGAGGTAGATCACAGCAGACACCTGCAGGTCTTAAATGTGGACAGTTATTATCTTACCTGTTGTAGGTATCATTCATCTTCAGTTTGAAGAAAAAGACTCACCTGACTGACAAGTTTATGAAATAGTTTTCAAACTATGCTTTAGCTCGTCAAACCACGTATCTACAGCAGGTGAGATGTTCTTTCTTCATATCAGGATACCAGAATTTTTATTTATTTGGTTTGTTGTTTCCTCTCTGTTACGACATTTAGGCGTTCTTTAGATTTTATAAAGTATCGATACGAGCTTTGTTTTTAAAAATCCAGACATTTTATTTTATTTACGAGCAGAAACCGTTAATTTGAAAACCCTCCTGACATGAAACGACACACCAGCCTCTTAAAGGGATAGTCTGGTCATTTTGAAGCATCAGCATTTTCAGCCAGAAGTGGAGTCAACATCTGGAATGAGAGGTGCAATGAGCCTCTCCTAGACCAAGACTTTGGTCCTCAGATCTTACTCCAGATGTTACTCAACTTCTGGCAGACGGATACATTTACAGTTTGGTTAGCCGAGGTCATGGCTGAGAAGGTGCCAGCGATGCTTCAAAAATCACCAGACTATCCCTTTAAGGTGACTGGACGTCCAGCTGTGGATTAAAGCAGCACTTCTACCTTTAGCTCCTCTGAGGACGAAGCCGAAGCCTTCGCTCTCTCTCTTCTGCAGCATGGCCGTTTTCTCCTCGATCACGTAGTCGCTGAAACACAAAACGTGGATTTTACCGCGTTCAGTAAAGACACGCAGCCCCCCCTCCCCCCCAGGACTGAAGGGGTCCGAGTGTCTCACCTTCAGTCCATCATGCTGTTTTTGATCAAACCTGCTGCAGTGAGCGGACGTTATCAGTATCCTACCTGCTGCAGGTGACTCTTTGGAGGAACTGCCAGAACCAGAGTGGATCAAACCGTTGACGTCATTTAATGTAAAGAAATGGACAGAACTTCACAAAGGTCCGTTCTGCGCAGAGTTCGAAGTTGAAGCCTGTCACTCACACACACTCATACATTTAGAAAACATTCCAGATGTTGTTTTCCAGTGTGTGAGTGACAGGGACCAACTTCAAACTCTTTGTGACGTTCCGTCCGTTTCTTTGCATTAAATGACGGATGCTCAACTGCTACAGCTAGCTGCTGCTGTCTCATTTGAAAAGTTTGTATGGCTCCAGATGTGCAGCCACAACAACAGTGTGAAGAGTCTTAAGACTGAAGTGATTCCGACTAGCCGTTAGCTCATTCATCCAATCCTCCAAAGAGCTACCTGCAACAGGTAAGATATTAATTACTTCTGCATAGTGTCCAGAGAAACGACGAGAACAAAAATAAAATCCAACAGCGGATATTTTCTCTGCCCTGCTGACTGACTGCAGGTAAGATACTGATTACTGATAATGACGTCCTGAAGGTTGGACAGACAGATGACTTGTCCTCCATGTCTCTGCTGGACACATTTAAAACCTGCAGAACCCGTTTGGACCAGCCGGGTGTCTCTAAGAACCAGTTCTGACCCGTAGGGGGGCTCACCTGTAGGAGGTGTAGTTGTCGTACGACCCGACCGTGTAATGTCTGAAGAGTCTCTTGGTTCTGTCCTCCCTCGTCTCTGAAACACACACACACACACACACATGTTCACCTGGTGTTCATGCGTGTCACGTGTTCTGCTACCAGACTAGTTACCAAGTCGCGGGTCGTACTGTCTCATCTGGACCTCCTCCACGCAGTCTGCAGGAAACCAGCCGGTTCTGCCTTTAACGCTGCCCTCCCAGAACCCCCCCTCGCCGATGGACAGGACTGCAGAGACAAACAGAGTCAGAACCAGCAGACTGTGGACCCGCCTGAGGCTCCGCCCCCCTCACCTTTGACCCGCTCTCCTCGGTGCAGCTGGATCTCTCCGGGCCCCTGGGGGACGTGGGACCGGGTGGCGATGAAGGTCCGTCCCGGCACCGCACTGTACAGCCGCCTCTTCCTCATCTGCGGGGTGGGGGGAGGTGAGGAGGGGGGGCTGGTCTCCACGTGAGCCACCTCGCTCGGGCTGCAGGGCAGACCAGAACCTGGTTACATGGAGTCTGTTTCAGGAGGTTCTGACCCCCCAGGTGGGCCTACCTGAGGCGGCGCGTGTGTCGTCTCAGAGAGTGCGTGTGCGTGTCGTGATGCGTCTCCAGGCTCTGCAGGGAGGGGCCGGGCGAGGAGGCGGGGCTCTCCAGGGCGTTGTCGCTGGCGGAGCGAATGAGGGAGCGGGGCGAGGACAGTCCATTTCCTGCTGCGGTTCTGGTGGCGCCGACCCGCCGGCGCTTGGTGTAGGACGGGGTTTCTCTGAAGGGAACTGCTTGGACACAGAAACACGGAACGTTAAAACCCTTCTTCTGACAGAACAGGTCCTTGAACGCAGCACCGTTACCTCATGGTGGGAAATAAAACCCATCGATTCGGATCAGTCTGGTTCTGGTGGTTCTGACTGAGACAGACATGCCAGAACCCAAAGACCCAGAACCAGAGTCTGGCTGTGATGCGTTTAAACTCACCAACATCAGATGATTTGTGGATCTTGATGATTTCAGCGAGATCAAAGTTCCCCGCAATGATCGCCACCTGCCAAACAAACGATGACGTCACGCATGAACAGAACCAGAACCGTTTGGACCTGATGTGGAGGCACCGAGGTGAGACACGTGTCCAAATGATCCTCGTCAAATCTACTCATTTCATTTTACAACGATCGCAAGTTATTTTTAATGATGCTTTGAGGCACCTGAAGGCAACACCACAGGTACAAGAATCCTGAGGCACCACCACAGGTACAAGAATCCTGAGGCACCTGAAGGCAACACCACAGGTACAAGAATCCTGAGGCACCTGAAGGCAACACTACAGGTCGAGGAAACATTTATCTTTGTTGTTGAACTATAGAATTTAGTTTTTATCATTTTATTTCAGGTGGATGTCCAAGTTTGACTCGTTTTTTGTGGTCAAGTGTTTCTCAGTAGTTCCGGAAGAGACCGGTTCTGCAACATGTGTCATCGTGGACCTCTGATCCAGAACTCTAACCCACTCCTGGAGTTAAAACCTGGTTGATGTTTGTTTGTTCACCTGAAAGGCCGTCTGGTTGTTGTAGTTCTTGATGTCTTTGTTTACTCCTCTGAACAGCAGAACCCGGGCGCAGCTGTCCTACAGAACCAGCAACAACATTTATTAAACATTTACACATGTGCTGAGTCCTTAGCATGTTGCTAGCGTGTTACCTGGTTGTACAGGGCGCAGAGGTGCAGCGCGGTGTTTCCTGAGGCATTCTGGGAACTCATGTCAGCGCCGTAGAACAGCAGGTGCTCCAGATGCTGCACGTTGCCATAGCGACAGGCCTGAACTCGCACACAAACACACCAGAATCAGAACCCAGCAGGACCCAGACTCATCACCTGCGTGTGTGTGTGTGTTAGTCACCTGGTGGATTTCCTGCCACCCATTCTCATCAGTGATCCCTGTAACCATGACAACAACTCTTCAGCTCTGAAGTGATTTTCAGCAGAAAGCACACACACACACACACACACGTACCGATGGTGGCGTGGTCCTGCAGCAGCAGCTCGCAGCAGTACGGGGCTCCGCCCACCATGGCAGAGTGGTACAGCGGAGTCAGGCCTCGGCTGTCCTTGTAGTCCGGAGATGCTCCAAGGTCCAGCAGAGTCTGAGGACCAGAACACAGGTCAGAACCAGCACATGTTTAAAGTCCATCGGGTCGCAGACCAGTTCTCACCGTGAGCGAGGCGCTGTTCCTGCACAGGACGGCCCGGTGCAGAGCCGTGATCCCGTCTCTGGTCCTGAAGTCCAGGTGGGCTCCTCCGCTGCGGAGGACTTTAATGAGCTCACCGCTGTCCTCCAGCTGCACGGCCAGGGTCAGAGGACACTCTGGAGGACACAAAGGGACAACTTAAAGTCCAGAACAGAACCAGGCCGACAGCTCGGATGCATCCGTGTTGAAAGCAGAGCTGTACGTCATCAGGATGCTGTTTGTCTGATAAACTGGTTTCTAGACTTCCTCACTGGTCAGTCAGTCAGGATTAGCAAGAAGACCACAGCCCGCATCAAAACAAACACTGGAATCCCACAGGGATGTGTTCTCAGCCCCATCCTGGAGTTTGCAGACCGCAGTGATAGAACCTGATTTGTTGCTCAACTTTATGCTGCGACTGTTTGAGACCCAAACTGACAAAATACAGACAGAGCTCCAGAAACTAAAGAACCATCATGGACCCTCACGACTGTGACTACATACTGTACTTTGATTTTTATTTTTTATAATCTTTTGCTGAACTTTCTTTGTCTGTTTTCATTGTTCAGAACGTGGAGGGCTCAGACTACTTCCTGGCTGCTTTATGATCTCCCCGCTCACCTCCGTTGTCTGCGTCGTGGAAGTTTGGATCCAGACCTTTCTCCAACCATTTGGAAACTTTCTCCACGTTCTTCTGATGGACATGTTCCATAAATCGCTTCAGATTGGCCTGAAGGAACAAAAATATGTTCAGTTTACTGAAGTTTCAATAAAAAGTCTCAGTCGGATTATCTGAACGACACTCGGGGGTTCCAGGCTGTTTGTTCAGATTTTACCTCGTTAAGTTTTTTTCAGCTTCAGGTGAGATGAGTTACCTTGGTGTGAAGCTTCGCCAGCTGTTTGTCGTCTACGTATGTCTGCGTGTAAACTCTCCTCTTATAACGAAACTGTTCAAACACAGACAGAACTTGGGTTGAGAACTGATGTATCTCACATAGTTGACAGAAGCATGTAGGTAAACTTTCCCACATGAAGAACACAAACGAGACGAACACAGCAAACTTTAAGCAGCAGAACGGACCGACGAGGAGGAGAAACTGGGAAGAAACAGCTAAAGGTTCTAGTTTCCACACAAAGCTGAACTCAGATATTAACCAGGAAATGAGATTCAGCTGAAGATGACATATTTTTATTTTAAGAAAATTACCTGAAAATCTCAGTTCTTACTATAGAAAGGTAAAAAATAAACATTTTTCTATGTTTATCTAAAGGTTATCTCATTGTAAGCCAATTACTTGTTGAGCTAATGACTTGTTAGCCTTGTTATCGGTTTCTCATTTGCGCTAATGGCTTGTTAGCATTGTTAATTGAGCTTATGCCTTGTTAGCTGTTTGTCAGTTGAGCTAATGGCTCGTTTGGCTTGTTAGCATTGTTAGCTCTTTGTCAGTTGAGCTAATGGCTCGTTAGCCTTGTTAGCTCTTTGTTAGTTGAGCTAATGGCTTGTTAGCTTTGTTAGTTGTCAGTTGAGCTAATGGCTCGTTAGCATTGTTAGCTGTTTGTCAGTTGAGCTAATGGCTCGTTAGCCTTGTTAGCTCTTTGTTAGTTGAGCTAATGGCTTGTTAGCATTGTTAGTTGTCAGTTGAGCTAATGGCTTGTTAGCTTCGTTAGCTGGTTGTTAGTTGAATATGGCTTGTTAGCATTGTTCACCGTTTGTCAGTTGAGCTAATGGCTTGTTAGCATTGTTAGCTGTTTGTTAGTTGAGCTAATGGCTTGTTAGCTGTTAGTCAGTTGAGCTAATGGCTTGTTAGCATTGTTCGCAGTTTGTTAGTTGAG